TCTTCTCTCCTTTACCTTTCCTTTTCCCTTACCTCTGCAAATCCTAAAACTTGAAACTTCGCATCTCTATCAACCTTCCCCCCTTCCTTTCCCTACTCATCCTTCTTCTTTCTTTTGCTTATTCTTTCTCTCTCTCTCTCTCTCTCTTCTCCCTTCTTCTTCCTCTCCAAATCTAGGTTTTTTTCAAACCCAAATTTGGGTTTTTCTCAAACCCAGATCTAGGTTTCATGACATAAAATAACAATCTGATGAAGTTGGTGATAATAAGAAAAGCAATACAAATCATTCCATTATATTAACTATGTTGGTGCTGTTTCGTTGAAAACGAGGAAGACGAAGGTCGTTTAGCAGGAGGATCTGCAAGCGAGGTCTGCATGGAGTACGAAAGAAGAACCCAGATTTGAAAATTTCTTTTTTTCTGTTTCAGATTTGAAACTTTCTCTGATCCTGTCATAGACACTTCAACCTATCAAGCTATCTTTGGGGTTTTCCCTAATTTTAATGGTTAGATTCCAATTTTAATATTCCTTACTTACTCCCATCCCCCGTCACGATCGCCAAGTACCAACGGTGATGCCTTCTTCCCTTTTTCACCTCTCAAGTTTTGTTCTCCGACTCCTGACCCTCGCCGACGGCGCTTCTCTTTCACCTATCCACTTTCTAACGATCCTCACCTATCGTCGCCATTTCATTTCAGGTAGCAGCACTCCTTTATTCAATCGAAGCAACGAACTAATTAATGTGATTGAAAAAAATCGTCTTCGTTGGTAATGGCCCGTAGGCTTTGTTCTGGCCTTTTTCTACCTTCTCTCTTCAGAACCTCAGGACCTCGTTTGCTACAGCCAACTTTTTCAAGGTGGGGACTCTACTCCCTTTACAGTTTGCAAATTCTGTTTGTTTCGGTTCTTCTTTTTGGTTATTTAACAGTTTAGGTTTCTGCATCTTGATGTCCAACTTGCTTGCAGAAGCTGAAAATTTCATTTTTTTCCGTTTCTGATTTGAAACTTTCTCTGATCTTGTCATAAACACTATAACATTTTAAGCTATCTTTGGGGTTTTCCCTAATTTTAATGGTTAGATTCCAATTTTAATGGAGTACGAAAGAAAAACCCAGATTTGGAGAGGAAGAACAAGGGAGAAGAGAGACAGAGAAAGAATAAGAAAAAGAAAGAGGAAGGATGAGCAGGGAAAGGAAGGGAGAAGGTTGATAGAGATGCTAAGCTTCAAGTTTTAGGGTTTGCAGAGGTAAGGGAAAAGGAAAGGTAAAGGAGAGAAGAAGAGGTTTCTTTTTCTTTTTCTAACGTGTGGAAAAAAAATTGACATTATTAAGTTTAAATTAAAAAAAATGCCAACTCATAAAAAAAGTTGGTCAACTATATTTTTTTTTATGTCATTAGTTAAGCAGAAAAAGAATTGATTTGTTGGTCTTTTAACGTGTCATTTGTCATTCAACTAACGAAAAGATCATTTTAGTATTGAAAATAAAAGTTTAAGAATAAATTTAGTACTTTTTAAAGTTAAGAGGTGATTTTGGTGTTAAAATGAAAAGTTGAGGGACCAAATGGTACTTAAACCTATTTGTTAAAAACCCTGTATATAATCATTAAGGAGGAAGAAAATTATAAACCTAGGATTGGCTTTAATACTTCCCCCTTATAACTACTTTGACCTTTGTAACCATTGATTGGATAAACAAAAGCAGATACCCACTTTGCTTTTCGTGCTTTGCTCTCAATGGTCCTAAATGCACCCATAATAGAAGGCACAAAAAAATTAGGGCTCATGATAAAACAATGCTAAAATAGCTACTATACAGGCATCCATAATTGTACCTGGACATATTCTCTATACTTTTTTCCTTGCCGCCTTTATAAATTATAAGCCAAATCACATGGGAAAGAAGTAGAGTTCCAATTATATGAAGGATCAAAGTAGAGTAGGTTAGGGTTAATAAAAAAAACTGCAATTCCCAAAACTTCCTCACAATTTAGTAAAATGACATAAAAAGTTCGTTTGTGCTACTGTTTCATTATCTCCACATTTAGTTTCTACTTTCACACATACACCACAATGTTGGAAATTTTAGGACCATAAAAGAATTGTTGGAATTTCAAGGGAACATTATATTTTTGGTTAGAGTAGGCGTATGACCTCATGAAAAAAGATGTTTCTACTAAGAGAGGCCTGACTTTGATGGGGCCAGTATCTAAGGGAGTTCAACAGTTCAGGGATTTTTTGGTTTCACAAATTAATGCATCATACATGTCTTTGGAGCCACTAAAAGTGGAACCATATATAAGATAAGAAAAGGGCTATTTTTATTTAGGGATCGTAACATTTAACAGATTAAAGAACCTATTTCAATTTTAATTAAAAAAAAATAAACTGATTCTTTCCACATACATTCTACACTGCCTCCCTTCCCTGCCTTTGCCGTCGATGAAGAAGAAGAAGAAGAAGAAGAAAAAAGTATTCAACCTATAGATTGAGTTTCTCATGCTGTGGCATTATGGAGATTGTGCTCATTAGTCTTAATTAAGACCATATTAAAAGGTGTGCATCAAAAGAAAAAAAAAAAAGAGCATATTAAAAGGTGTGTGTCTAATATTACATGATCAAAGAAATGCAAATCATAATAATTTCTTCAAAGGTCGGATTTATCGTCTTTCTTTCATTGTTAACATAGTGTTGAATCTGATCAACCTTTTGTTTTTCTTACCTCCATTTGTGCACTCTATGTGTCTGCTCGTAGAATTACAAATCCTTAGATCTATGAAATCATAAGAAATTCTCATCTGGATGGCGTATCCTTATTGTGAACAAAATTTTAGTTAGTTCAAGCAAAATGTTAATTATTTCCCACAAAAGGTTATTGGGAAAACAGTGCCAAACAGGCAATTAGAAAAAAAAAAAAATACAACACTGCAAATAAGTAGGAAAAAAAGGGTGCAGTGGAAACCTAAGAGTTTAGTAGATTTTGACGCGTGGCCGAATCCCATTTCTTTATCCAACAATGAAAGAAAATGTAAGCAACCCAGCATGTAGAGCAACCTGTCTCATTCTGTGGCACAAGAAACGCCGAGAATAGCATCATAACTCTACCGGAGGATCTTCCAAATCCATTGGAGAATCAAAATTCACTTTCAACTATTCAATTTCTCTCTTCATTTTAACTCACCAAGAAAAAGAGGACAAATTGCACTTTCCATCACAACACCAAAGCAAGCAAACTATCAGAAAACACCTATAAAAAACAAATCTTCTGAAATTTTGTTCCCTTTCCCTCTTCCTTGACTTGATCCTTTTCTTGTGGTTTTGCAGTTCATTTACAGTAATGGGTAAGTTTGTTTTGTTCACTCCATGAGGTTACAACCCTGAGACTTGCCTTTTTCTATCTGGGTTTTCTGCTTTTCTTGTTTTCATGTTGGAATTTGAAGTTGGGGGCATGGTATAAATTTTCCCTCTTAATTGAGATGCAAAGTGATGAATTTGGGGATTTATAGTTGAGATTGTAACTGGGTTCGTTTTTTTTCCTTGGTTTTAGTAATGGGAAATGCTAGTAGTGGAAGAGATGACGAAGGAACATCAGGAGTGAAGAAGAATGAATATGAAGTGGGTGAAGAGAATTCTAACCCTGATCCTATGCTTCACTCCGCTCCCCATGCCCCAAGGGCTTTGCAGCCCCCTTCGATATCTGTTCGTCAGGTTAGTTCCTTTCTTGTTGGTTGATTCTCTATCTTTTAAGCATAGTTTCATATATTTCTGCTTTGTTTCAGGCTTTATAAGGGAGGGAGGATTTCATTGGGCTTCTGGGAAATCCTCTTTCTTCATTAGAACATCAACAAAGCTTGCTTGGGTGTTTCATGAGGAAAATTTTCTTTGCTGCTTTTTATTAAAACTAATTGGATTAATCTTCGCCTTGAATATATAAAAATAAAATTCTGGTTTCTGCTTAAGTCTACCTCTCTGCTCGTTTTCTCGGGGCATATTATGAGATTTAGTTAGTTCATGAGAATTTGTGGATGTTGGTTAGGAACACCCTTTTGGATTGTTATGATGTTACACGGTGAAATTAAATATCATCTCTTTTCAACTATAATGGGATTTTAGTGCCACTGAATTGCTGTCAGTAACAGGAGGGAGAATGAAATAATTTGAGTGATTGTTAGACATGGAAGTGCAATTTAATTACCTAGAGAATATGTGTAGGAACACGTTTAATAGTAATTCTAAGATTAGTTATATTTCCATCTCCAGAACCCCATGGCTCCCTTGACAATACCTGGTGAAACAAGTCGAGAATGGAATCAAGTTCTGATGCAAAATGCAAGACAGCATAATGGTACTGTTTGTGTTGAGAAAAGGAGTGCAGCGATGATAGTATGGAGTCGTGGTGGTAAGGAAGTAGCAGTCACTGGATCATGGGACAATTGGCAAACAATGTACTAGAAGCTGTTGATGGCTTCTTTGAAGTTATCGTTCTTGAGTTAAAACATTTTTCTAATATGCAAAACTTTTTCTTGTTTCTATCAGAGAGACCTTGCACCCTTTAAATAAAGATTTCATCATCACAAAGATTCTCCTACCCGGCGTTTACCACTACCGCTTCATTGTTGATGGACAAATGACATATGCTTCTGAATTACCATGGAACTGTGATAATGCTGGGATTGCTTACAATATTTTTGATTTACAGGTATTTTGAAGTTCCTTTCTTGATTGTTACTCTGTTATAAATGACTAAAGACTTCAATTTCTTTCTCTTTACAATTTCTTTCCTTTTCCCTATTACAATTCAAGAAGTATTGGGTGGAAGAATGTTGGAAGCATAATGTGTAAAATCAAAGAAAGAGGAAAAACCTTGGTTTCTTTTGTTTTTTTTCAGTAACATGCATACAAATTTTTATAGAGTCATCTATAGCCATCCAAGAGTCAACCATCACTTGCAATATTCAAACATATCTGATGGTCATTAGTGTCTTAACAAGAATCTCGGAACATTCATTGCTGGCATTCCTTGCTGTCTATGGAACAATATAAGCATTTGGGAGTGTAAATGCATTATAGCTGGGAAAGATGCTGAGAATGTCTTAGGATTGCTGATAACATTTTGTCTGCTAATGGCTTAAGATCTGTTATTTTAAACAGGAAATTCTTTTTCCATGAACAGGAATCTGCCACATCATAAGCAGCTACAAATAGGGTAGCGATTGTCACCTCATGCTTTTTCTGTTTATTCAAACGAAGTTTGCATAGACTTTTAGGTGTCCATGTTTGACATGTACACCATGCTAGATGCTTGATCCCATGTCCAATGTAACATAGTGATGAGTAGTAACTTTCAATGAATTGTGATTCTTTCACTGCCATTTTCATGCCGTTTCTGTTATTTCTCTGACAATATCCTGCTGTTACAACTAGAGCGAAACCATGCCATCTGCAGCACAAAGCTCCTCAAGTACCACCAGAACACAGGTGTACTTTTTTTTCTCTTTCTCTCTTCTTAAGGTAAGGCAATTCATTCAATATTGGAAGTGTTCAAGGTGGTTGTTCAGCGCTTAGCACCACTTGAAGTAGGATGATAATGGTTCTAGTAAAGAAACTATCTTTCTGAAAAAGAGATTTTAATTTCGCTGCATTCTAACAACATGTAGGCTACAATCAAGCAACATATGATGCCACTTCCTTTGTCTTCCAGTGGGTTAAGTCAGGTACTTGTTTTTTATCCCCTTCTGTACTTGATTTAGCAACTTTACTGACTAGTATCTCTATTGCTTCTTTTTCACTTACACTCAGCTTTAAATTTATGATGTATTATTATTATTGTACAGGAGTTTACTCCTAACAGGCTTGCAGAGTTTGGGTCTCCTCCTTCCCCATTATCAAGCTATGACAATGAACCCTTAAATGATAGTGATTTTATTAAGTATCCTCCTGACCTACCTCCACAACTTCAAATGACAATACTAAACGAACCATCATCCACAATTGGAACAGACCAGTACCTTCTGGTGCCTAATCACACAACCCTGAACCATCTTTACATCCAAAACAGTGATGGCAGCCAGCCTGTTGCACTAGGCGTGACACACCGGTTTCTTCAAAAGTATGTGACTGTAATAATATACAAGGCCTTTTTTAGGTGAAAACTAAAGTTTTGTCTCTTAATATCTGGAGACCTAAATGATTTTATGATTTTGACATATTGGTGAAGGAAAGAAAATATTGGCGATGGATATCGTAAGATAAGAATTGGTATAGAAGGATCATTAGCCATACAAATGCTATATGTAGTTTCTATTCCTGTTTCTGTATGATAATTTATCCCTTTATCCCTAAGTTCATGAATTTCTACTCTCAAATACAATGAGAAGATCGATATAATTCATACATTTGATTGATTCTGTAGCATGACCATGTACTTGAACTTGAAGAAACAAGAACATTAAGTCTCAGAACAAGTTGGAATATGTGCTTACATTAGAAATTTGCTAATGAACTGAATCAAAATGAAAGATTCTATGGGGGTTTAGCTCATCGAACAGGTACCTTAATCCAACCATTGGCAAAACCAATAGCTAGGATAACAAATGGTGTTGACATACCAAATATGATAATGTAAGGCAGAGGGGTCTTCATGGGATTCTCTCCTGCCCTCTCCCCTGCTGATTGCCAATATCTGCACACAGCAAAACCATTCATCTATTGAATAATCTTTTCAAAATACATGTATTTTAAACTCCTCTTTTTTTTATCCAATGCAAACAATATATTTTAAAATGTATGTATTTGAAATACATGTATTTTAAGTACATATATTTGAAATAACTATCTCAAATACAAATATGGGTTTCTAAACACAATCTTAATGATTTGTGAAGTATTTGAATCCACGTATCAAAGCAGAATGCTTACTGTTCTGGTTCTTCTTCTCTAGTTATGAATTTCTTCTTCCCTTTGGGCTTCAGCTCTTCATCTGCTCCCCCTAATTAAAACCATAAAAACCACTGTTCTCAATCATCAGCTCAATGCCATTTGGTTAATAACACATACAAGGCAAACAACAGAATTCAAAAACGATTCAAACATGCTGAATATGGCATAAGAAACTACATACAACTTGCCTATATTTGCGCGTATTTTGAATTGTTTGGTATTTTTCTTTGGTGAACGAAAAGTCTGAGGGAAAGCTGATGATGGTAATGATGATGACTTCGGTAAGACAGGAACATGGGTGTTCAAAGAAGAAAAAAGGGGCATTTTGGCTGCCATTTTTACAGAATTTTGATGGTCTCAAGCTGTGTGTTGCCAAGTACATGGCCATCACTTATATCCGGATATGGATGTCAGGATGTGGTAGCGGTGGGATATTTTGGAAATCTGGATACTCACCTTATCCAACCACCATGACTGAAATGCCCAAATGGTCCCCAGCTGATGTGGCATCTCCAGTACCAGTCCAAAATAGAGGAGAAATATGCCTTTTTATTTTTTTTCCTGCTCCTTTTCATTTATGGTCAGATTTTACTGGAACACTAATCTGATAACTTGTGTTTATCAAACTAACAATTATTTCTTTGTTTCAGAGAAAGACATGTCATTGACAATAAGAATGTATTCCTGCACTAATTGAAATTCTTTTTTTTTTTGAAAGGCCTGCACTAATTGAATTTTGTCAACTATAACATAAATAATATACAAGATTAATTTAAAAAGTAATTACCATCACTAAAACTTAAATAATCATTCATGTCAAATTTCAATTCTATTCTATATAATATTCATATATGATAAAAAAGAGTTCGCTAGAACTCAAATTAGTTGTATGTTGTAACATTCTTCGTTTCTAAGACCCAATATTCAATTTTCATAAAGGAGCACTCATTTACATCTCCTCTTTGTTGAAGAAAAAGGAAAAAAGAGTCAAATTTGGTAGTCTACTGATATGGGATTGTTATCTACAAAATTCATAAGTGATTTTAGTAGTCCGTAAATGCAAGCACTGATAAATTTTCGCTTCTGTCCAATTCAGTCTCCTTTCAAAACCAAAAACTGCACCATCCATGATCCGAATGTCAACATGGGCAACCCTAGTGCAAGCTGGAAGCAGAATGAAATAATCAGCATGAGCAACCAAGGTGATGGCACCTTCATCCTTCTTCTGTACGTATTGGACGTAATCAAATCTCTTGGTTTTGACCCTTGGTGGGGTGTAAAAAATCTATTCTCCTCCATGTTTCTTTTCATCCGTCCAATTGTTCTTTGACTCTTTCTTTCAAAACTTCTACTGAAACTTCAGGGTTTCTGAATTTTCAGGTTCCCGTGAATCGTAAGAAGAGTGGTCGGCATCCATGTTTTGCTGAGGGATATAACATCCATGGAACATCCGATTATCATTGGATGTGCTCTTACAATATTTTTTGTCAGGGCAATGTGATGGGTAACAAGAAAGAACTTGCGATGGGTAACAAGAAAGAATCAGTTTTAGGATTATTTAACAATTTTATTTAAAAAATGATGCAAGTACAATCTTTTTGTATTATTTTTTTATACAATTTTATATATCATTTAAATAATTTTTTATTTATTTAAAATTTATGATATTAAATATATATATATTTATTTAATGATATG